ATCCCCCTGCCCCGCTCATCTGGATCCAGAAACTGTCTTCCTGAAATCCTAGTGAGGGTCTCAAAGTTTGCAGAGAGGCAACTTGGCCCTTCCCTCAAGGTCTTCACAGACTGGAAACCGCAGACAAGCCCAGGTGAGACCACTGACTCTTACTTTGCAGGTCTCGGGTATCGAGGGCCTGAGGGCTGTGAATCGGGCACTGGCTATAGGAGAGGTGGCCACAGAAGGGCTGGAGGCAGCAGCTCTGGGAGCCGGGGGCCTGTCTGGGAGCCGGGGGCAGCGTGGGTGGCGGGAGAACTTCCTAGAGCCGTGGTCGGCAAACTCGTTAGTCAACAGAGCCAAATATCAACAGTATGACTGAAATTTCTTTTGAGAGCCAAATTTTTTAAACTTAAACTATGTAGGTAGGTACATGGTTATTAACTTAATTAGGGTACTCTTAAGGCTTAGGAAGAGCTACACTCAAGGGGCCAAAGAGCCGCATGTGGCTCTCGAGCCGCAGTTTGCCGACCACGGTCCTAGGGCATCCTTGGCACAGCTGAAGCCAATCATTGTCGCTCCGTGGTTATCTGAGTCACCCAGTGACAGCGGCTCTGTGCATGCAAAGGCCAGAGGGCGTGGGCTGCTATCCAGTTCCCAGACGTGCCCCCGACGCGTGCGGTGTGGACGTAATTTCAATCAGCCATCAGCACAAGCCGGTCCCATGCGACTGCCGTTCCCCGCCTGTGACTTTGTGCCTCCCTTCTTCTCATTCCCAGATTCAAGGGTAAAAGTCACTTGGTTGTGTCTGTACAAAGAGATGTAAGGAATGACTCAAAAGCTAGAGGCCACGTTGGGTGCTGTTTATTTCATGAACTGTTCTTTGTGTTCATCGGTGAGTGTTTTCACTTTCTTCCTTCACACTGGTGGCTGTCAATGGCCCCATCTACGTGCCCAACAAGCCCAGACACTCCAGAGGCACCTGACGCTGGAACCTGCCTGCCTGAGAGACAAGCATTGCGCTTCCCTGCTTATCTGCAGTTGGAGGCGATCTCTTCGTAGATTACAGAGTTTGCCTGATCAGCAGAAATTGACGTAGAGTGCTGTGATTCAGGTCTTTTTTAGTTTTGGAATAAAATGAAGTTTGAGTGATGGTCCCCTTGGATCTGAAATTGAAAACCGAAAGAGATTTGGCAGGTCAGTGATTTCATTTTCCCCATTTTAAGAAAAAGAAAGAAAGAGAAAGAGAATATGGGAGATTCCCCTGGAATGGTCACTGAGACTTTGGTCACTGAGACGTTGGCTATTTCACCCGAATGTGTGATTCAGCTCCTGGAGCGCCAACTCCAGGTCCGAAGCCAAACAAATGAACACGTCACATGGGGCCCTAGGAGCGTCCCAGGTGTGGACACGGGGCTGCAGTCCCCTCTTCTGCCCTTTCCTCGGGGTTTGGGGAGGGAGTTTGTAGAGGCAGGTGTGGCCCAGTTGTGGACTGCCCTCTCACTGTTTGTGGTAGTTGGGACAGGGCCTTTGTCCCCTGACATCTTCCCATAGACCCTCAGGAAGCCATTTCTCTTCTATCATTCTTCTATCTTCCTTGGGGAAGCTTCTTCCAGGAGCACGTCCCCCCAAATATTCCAGGGATTGATCTTCAAAATACTTTCAAATCTCCCCTCAGTCACACGTTGCCCTGACAAGACCTATGTCGAGATGTTTTGTCCCCATCTCACCGATAGAAAACTGAGGCTCAGTGCTGAGGAGTGTCGTGAATAAGCTGGGTCTCAGCTTCTGTAACCTTCCTCCTGGGGCCCCCACCAGTCATGGTGTGCAAAACCCAAGCCTCTGCCATCCGTTCATGCATGCATGCATTCATTCATTCCACAACCACCCATTCAACCACGTTTCCCTGCGGAGTCTCCCGCCTCTTCCTTAAGGATAAGGGAACATCCTGGAGCCCCTGAAATGGGAGGTTATGCATAGGATACACGCACATCCGCCCACTGCAAGTTCAATCTGCCTTGCTGTCCTGTCCTACACTCCACTGCTCCATGGAAGGGCCCCGTAGAGTCACATGGCCACCATGTCAGCTTCTGTGGTCGTCACAGTGTAGCCACCTCCCCAGCTCAGAGTTGCTCTTCAGATCCTGGGGCCTCCCAGCCCGTGTTGAGTGCAGTAGAAAAAGAGCCCACACTTTTCTGTGTAAAGGCTGCTCACCCCTCACCCCTTATTCAAGTAGGATCGTCCCATTTTATAAAGTTAAGCCAAGACGCAAACAAACAAAGCAACTGCCCAGGGACACAAATCAGTGACAGACAGGGCCAGGTCTGGGGGCAGGATCTGGGACTCACACCAGTGCTTGGTGCTGACTCCTGCATGTCCTGGCAGTGCATCCAGCTCTCTTTTATAACTCTTTTTACATCTAGGTGTGGCATTGCCACCATCTTCCACTTGCGGTCCACTTTGACCATGAGATTATTTTTCCCTGTCCTCTCTTAGGTCTCTGTGCTGTGTCTCACTTCCCAATTAGAGCAAACTTCCGTTGCAGATTCTGGGAGGACCTGTTGTAGATGTTTTATATATATTAATACATTTATTCCTTGCTACGACCCTTTGAGGGCAGTCACATCAGACGAGAGAGGTCTTGTTATTTAACCCCCAGCCCTCATTTTACAAAGAAGGACCCGGAGGACAAAGAGAGGAGGCTGTGTGCCTGGGAGGAGGCAGCAGTAGTGGCAGAGCTGGCCTTTTCCCTCAGGCAGGAGGATGCCCACTGGATCAGGCCTCTGTGCTGCCACTCCCTAGGTGGTTCGAGATATGTGTGGGGCTGTTTCTGTGCTCCCCAGACTGTCAGGCCTTATGGGTCCTCAGCCAGGCCTCAGTGGACAGAGTTGTCGTCTAGTGTTGAACCTGGGGGGTTGGCGACTGCCCCTAAGTTTATTTCCCTGCTCTCTGGCTTGATGGTGGTACCTCTGAATTTCTTTCTCACTCTCTAAGGCAGTGGTTCTCAACCTTCTGGCCCTTTAAATACAGTTCCTCATGTGGTGACCCAACCATAAAATTATTTTCGTTACTGCTTCAAACTGTAATGTTGCTACTGTTAGGAATCATAATGTAAATATCTGATATGCAGGATGGTCTTAGGCGACCCCTGTGAAAGGGTCATTCGATCGCCAAAGGGGTCGCAACCCACAGGTTGAGAACTGCTGCTCTAAGGGTTCGTGTGTCCACTTTGTTCAGTAGTAGCGGTTATTCCGGCCAAGCAGAAGGTGCCATGCCCACCCTGTGTGTAGCAGGTGATGAATGGAGGTGTATTGGGCAGTTTCTGGCCTGGCCCCAGGGATCCTGCCACCCACCTTAACCCTGTGAGTTAAGGCTCCTAAGTGGAAGGTTCCCCGGCAATCCCAGCACACGAGACCTGGAGTGGTCAGGGACCCCCAGATCGTGGAGGACAGGGGATTCATCCCACGCCCTGGAAGCTTAGGTAGAATTACGAAGCACGGGGGAGGGAGGGTGTGCAGGTAGGGAGCACAGCCCGTGAAAGGGGATGAAGATGTCCTGACTCCTGTAGACCCCGGGGGGTGGAGGGTAGGGGCACAGGAAGCTGGGGAGGGTGGTGTGGGCAGGACACGAGGATGGACAGCCACGCCTGGCTCAGCTCTGAAGAGGGCAGTTCCCCATTTGGAACATAGGGTTAAGCACCTTGTACAAATGCTGAGAGTCTGGAGCGCCCAGGATGCTGGCAGCAGTCAGGGTGTCCACTGTGGTCTGACCTCACCCCAAGTTCTTGCCCTGCCCGGCAGCAGTTCATCCCCTGAGCGCCAGCCGGTGCCTTCCCCGGGCAGCCTTCGGGTCTGGCCTTTCTGCCCACTCCGCCGGAGAAGAGACACCACATTTAGCCGCCAGCTCACTGTGACTCTGCACTTCTCTGACATTCCTGAGATATTGAGGAGAATGAGCCTCGGCCGTTGGCACCAGGATCGAAGGCAGGGTGACAGGACGTCCCCCAGCGCCTGTCCTGGGAATTAGATGGAGAGTGTGCCCAGCACAGGCGTTCTGTAACTCAGATAACCCTCCTGGCCGCCAGTGGACAGCTTACATTATCCTCCCATTTTACAGAGACGGACACTGAAGCCCAGAGCGGGTAGATGGAGAGGGTCCACGCCCAGATTTAGAGCCAGGTCTGGCTGGCTGCAGGGCCTGGTGCTCGGCCACTGCCCCTCATGGCCCCTTCCTCACTCGGTGCTGAAGGAGAGCGGCACCTCGAGTCCCCGTTACTGTGCAGGGATGGAGCAGCCTGGGTGTGCACACGGGATTCAAGGCTGGGCAGTGACCTCAGGAGCCCTCACAAGCCCAGGCCTCTATTCTGCCTGTGACCCTGTGTGAGGAGCACCTCCTAGGGTCTACCCTGGTCGCCTTTGGCAAACCATCTGGTCGCTCTGGGCCAGCCCGCTCGGGCTCCTGGAACCAGGAGGCCTTCCGAGGGCCGGTGGCCTGCTTGGCATCTTCATGTGTCCTTCCTTAGCAGAGAGTGTCTCCTTCATGTCAGCAGCATGAAGGCGGCCGCCGCGGTTGACTTAGCCCCTCCCCGCATTCGGTGATTGTTGAATGGCTGATGACTGAGGGAGCGAGTGGATGATGTGTTCGGTCTGAAACGCGCTCCCTCTGAGGGCCCATCCCCAACAACCCAGCGGTGAGTGGGTTTTCCTCCTCTTCCTCTGCAGCTGCTGAACTCGCTGTCCGTGAACCCTGACGCCAAGTGCAAGTATGGCCTGTACTTCCGGGATGGCAAACGTAAGGTGGACTACGTCTTGGTGTACCATCACAAGCGGGGCTCGGGCAGCAGGACGCTGGCCAGGAGGGTCCTGCAGAACGACGCCGCGCTGGGCGCCCGCAGCGCCCGGCAGGACCAGCCCCTGCCCGGGAAGGGCAGCCCTGGGGGTGCGGGCCAGCAGGAGCCCCCCATGGACTTCCACGAGGATGACAAGCGGTTCCGCAGGGAGGAGTACGAGGGGAACCTCCTGGAGGCGGGTCTGGAGCTGGAGCGCGATGAGGAGGTAACTGTCCCTCTTCTTATTGGCATGTTGGGCAGACAGGGTGGAGAAGGCGGGGCGTCGGTGGGCGGGGCTGTGCGGTTCTTCAGAAGGCGGTGGGGACGTGCCCTCTTAGCTTTAAACCTGTTCTTAGGGAAGATGGATGAGAACACCACCCTTGTTAAGGTTGAGTAGAAATTGCTTCGGGGGGCGGGGTTGGGTGGAGGTAGGGGAGGCCAGGGGAAGGTCAATGGGGAAAAAAAAAGAAGACATGTACTACTATCTGTAATACTTTAAACAATAGAATAAAAAATTTTTAAAAATTAGAAATAGGGCCCTAACCGGTTTGGCTCGGTGGATAGAGCGTCGGCCTGCGGACTGAAAAGTCCCAGGTTCAATTTCGGTCAAGGGCATGTACCTTGGTGCAGGCACATCCTCAGTAGGGAGTGTGCAGGAGGCAGTTGATCGATGTTTCTCATCTATGTTTCCAACTATCTATCCATCTCCCTTCCTCTCTGTAAAAAATCAATAAAATATATATTTTTTAAAAAGTAGAAATAGAAAAAAAAGAAAGAAATTGCTTCCAATGGCTTTGGGGAGTCCCAAACCACCCCCCTCCAGGTCACCTCTGCTCTGGGGTAGGACTGACCATCTAGCGATGACCTTTGGGGTGGAGGCCTTTCCTGCTCCGGTCAGTTCCTTCCCTGGAAGATGTGCCCCAGGGAAGGGACGGAGGATGGAGCTCTCCTGGGAGTCTTCTGGTGGTTGGTCTTGGCCCTTCTCAAAGGCTCAGCTTCTCCAAGTTGGGAGGTCAGCCTGACTGAGCCCTGAGGGCTGGTGCTCTGAAATCCCGAAACTCCAACACTTTTCTGGAGCCCCGCTCCCCGGCAAAGCCTGAGAGAGAACCTTTCTAAGGGAAAGGCTTGGTGGAGAGCAAACAGTGAACTCACCTGGCAAGCAGGGCCGCCCTGGTGGCGAGAGGCAAGCAGTGTGGAGAGAGGGCCCTTAGCAGCCCTTGGTTTGCCAGTGCTCCCCCGTCGACCCCTTAACCTCTCTGTGCACCGGGCCTGCCTTCCGTGAACACTGGGGACCGGCCCCTAGCCCAAAGAGCTGTCACTGCGAGGGTTCGTGGAGAATCAGCAAAAGTCTGCCCCGCACATTGCGAGCAGAACGAGTCACGAGTGAGCAGGTTAACTTAGGAAGCTAACAGCCACCTGTGAGTGTTCAGGATAAAAGTCGATGTCGATTTGCTATTTCATCGATGAGAACCATAATCAATAGCGAATGCTTTGGGTCCAGTGATAAGCATGCTTTTGGGATTCAGTTGGGGAGCCCGTGGTGTGACGTCTGTTTCCATTGACCTATTTCTACCCTGACCAGTCGTGGGCCTGTGTGTTTGGCATGGAGCACGCCTCTGGGTCATGTTCACCTTCGGGGGTGGGGCGGCCTGCCGGGCGTGGGTGCCTTGCGCTGCAGGGATGTTGGAGTTGCAAGGGCGTGTGACGGCCTCAGAGTGCTTTGACGATCAGGGACTTGGTCCTGACATGGTGGCAGAGGGCCTCTGTCCCTGACATCGGGCAGCAGCTGCAGACAGGTGTGCGCTGGCCCTTCCGAGTTTTGTGACTCACTTTGAGCTGGGGCCACTCAAGACAGCAGTCGTTTCTGATGACTTTCTGTGTTGTTCCGCCCGGCCAGCCCTACAGCAATCTGTGGAGACAATACTGCTACTATGCAGAGCTGACTTAAAAATGTCGCTTTCTAACCGGAGGAACAAACGCTCCTCTCGCCGGGAGCGGGCGGGCAGAGCCGGGATCTTGGGCTCAGTGTGGTGTGTGCCAGTCTGTATAGTATACCCAGGGGTTTGCTGTCGCTGCCATTCTTTCCTCACTACAACTATGAAATGCCACGCTTGAGAGGGCCCACGAGGTCTGGTGACTCACACTGACCCTGGCCCGATCCCAGACCCTCTACCTGTCCTTTGTTCAACTGCTTAGGCCTCAGGTTCCCCATGTGTCAAATGGAGATAAGCCTGGTGTTTATATCACTGGGCTATCGTGAGTAAAATGCAAGCCTGGCACATGACAAATTCATACCGAACGCTAATAGTATTTCATCAGATACTACTGTTCCTGGGGAAGTGGGAACAGCAGTGCCCTCGAAGGAGGAGAGAAAAGAGCCATATCTTTTTAAATAACTTTGTGACAAGCAAACATAAAGACGTTGGTTACTGTCACCAATAAAAGATCTAGTTTTCCCAATAAGGGGCCCAAAAATGTCATTGATAATTTGGCTCGCCTTTCAGCCGCCAATTGGGCCGTTTTAAAATGAAAATGCTGTGGTGGTGGAGACTAGACGGTCTGAGTTTTCAAAGCAGCTGACGTTGAGTGCGGACCGTCTCCGGTGGAGCCTCTCCCCGGTGAGCCGTGCTTTACCAGGGTCCGCTGTAATTTGCAGCTCTCGCCTGAGACCGTCAGGCCCAAGACAGCTGGGAAAAGCCTTCATCTGCTGCTCTCACCTGCTCTCCCGAGACAGGTGGGACCAGAATCTGTTCAAAAGCCACTTGGGCTCAGGCAGCATTGAGGTGTGTGTCGGCCACTGTTGTGTGTTTCAGGGAGAGACAGCTTGTCCATGAATCAGTCCCCCTGGTGCGCTCCGAGGACCAGGCCTGAGAGGCTTCGTAGTGTGGGAAATGCGACAGCCTCGGAAGGACCCCAGGTGTGCAGTCGTACTCAATTTGAAGCGAAATTTGGTGCCCATGTGCACTTTTCTGGGGAGAAAAGTCCATGGAATCCATTGGATCCTCAAATACTCAGTGACACCCAAAGAGAAGGGACCATTGCATTGAGCAGGTTTCTCACCCTCGGCGGCACTGCTGGCATCTCATATTTAGCAGCATCTCTGGCTCTCTCTGGCCAGTAGCACCCCCAAGTCATGCAACACAGAATGTCCCCAGACATTGCTAAATGTCCCTGGGGGCTAATACTGAGAGGCTCAGCTTTCAAGTGTTAATGTAAAAAAACATTCAAACCTGTAAAGAATTGTTTTTTGTGAGTTTTGTGAGTTTATTTGAGTCAAACTGTCGACATATGACGGGAAGCAGAACCTCACGGAATTGAGATAATGCTCCGGAGAATGGCAGGTTACATCTGTATTTATACATTGCAATCAAAGGAAGGGGCATAGGTGGGTTACATGAAATCCATTGGTGATAGACTAGAGAGGCGGGAGAAAGTAAAGGGCGGGGGGGACCCCTGGGATTGGATAAAAGGTAAAATGATAGACACATACTTAGGTGGGTGCAGGAACAATTAACATAACAATGAAGGGATTTGTGGTACAGGCACATTAATTAGGTTGTGCCCCAGAGAGTCCAGAAAAAGGGAAGTTATAAGTTACCCAGACATTTCAAGGGTATGTTATCATAGATACAAAAAGACAGATAGGCTCATTCAAGGTAAAGGTTGACCTTGTCAGTGAAGATACCGGCCTAGGACGTAACTGCCCACCCTAACTGCTTTTAATGAAAGCTTAATTTCAGACCATCCTTTGTGGTTACTTAAAGTCTCTGAGTTTGCAAGACCGCCATGCAGGCCTCCCCTGAGCTTGTCAGGTTAGCATGTGGCCCCTTTCGTCCACAAAAGTCTAGGGGAAGGAGGGACAAGAAACGGGACAGCTAGACAAGGCCTCCTGGGTGTGATGGCAGCCCCCCTGAGCTGTCTGCTGGCCCAGGCTCCCCTGGCCGTGTCCAGGCAGTCCCATGGAGGTCACCAGCAGCACAGACGTGACCTGCCTTTGCTCCCGGAGGGGCAGCAGGCATGCTGTGCTGTGCATTGAGTCAGGGGGTCTGTTGAGGTAAAGACATTCCTGATGACGTGGAAGACCGGCCTGGCTCGGGGCGCAGTGGGGGCCGGTTCTTAGGGACACGCAATGGTCATTCTCCTGGGGCGGCCATGACAACTGGGGGGCTTCAAACAATCCAGATTTATTCTCTCCCAGTTCAGGAGGCCAGGAGTCTGCGGTCGAGGTGTGGGCAGGGCCCCCCTCCCTCCCAAGGCTCCAGGGGGAGGCTCCTTCCTCCCTCTTCCAGCTTCTGGGGCTCCCGGCTTCCCTTGGCCCCTATCTTTGTATGACTTCTGTGTGACCTTCGTATAAGGTCACTGGTCCTGCATTGAGGGCCCACACTAATCCAGTATGACTTCCTCTTGACTGGGTTACATCTGCAAAGACCTTCTTTCCAAACAGGATCCCATTCAGTCACCGATATGGAGGGTTAGGACACGGACGTCTCTTTTTGGAGACACCATTCACCAGCACAGCAGCTGAGGCTGTGCACTGGAGTAGTGGCCCCAGGAGTGGGTGGCTCACGCAGGGGTACGAACAGTGGACGAGGGAGGTGCGGTTCTGGGTGGGGGCAGAGCAGGGTAGATGGTCTGGGATGGGCCCAGCCATGGTGTCAGGGCCCAGGATATGCACAGAAACCCCCCACCCCCGTGGTCCTGTCGGAATGCGGCTCTGATGCAGGTGTGGGGTGGGAACGGGACTGAGTTTCTGACCAGCTCCCAGGGCGCGGGGAGGCCGCTGCCCCCGACCACACTCTGAGGCATGAGGAGCATGCAGGCCTTCTTCTCCATGTGCCCACAGAGGCATCCTCAGAGGAGGGCCCCAGAGTCCACGCCCCGATCCCGTGTTGGCACCCAGAGGTAGCCCCGACAGAGCCCCCAGCAGCCATGATAGGAAATGACAGGAAGAAAAAGCGTGGTGGAGGCAGGAGGCCCCGCCTTCCTTCTGAAGGAACACGCCCTCTATCCCTCCCTCCGACAGCAGAGGGGTCAGCGTCCAGGATCCCATTAAATGGACGAGAGCAGTTTGTGGCCAGCGCGCTTCCTCTCAACTGAAACCCATCAGCATCTTCCAAGTCCAGCCTCAAAGCCTGCCGGACATTATTTATGTCCGGGGTCATCGCCGAGAAGGCCACACACTGTTATCCGTTGTGTGTGCCGGGGGCGCCGAGGCCCACACTGCCCTGAGGATGAACCTGACCTCAGCTCTGGCAGCACAGTGAGGGCCTCGGACATCAGAGCCCTGGGAAGTCTGTCCGCCCTCACACTGCCGTCCAGGGTTCAGCCGTGCGCCCGGCTGTCTGGCTCGGGTTCCTCCCGTGGAGCCCGTGTGGTCCCTCAGCGACATCTGTGTCCCATCCTTGTTACTGGGGATGTTCCTTTTGAGAAACAAATGAGGGAGAACGGAGGCAGCTTCCAGACCAAGCTTCGGGCGCGGGATGCATCGTGGGCTGGCAAAGATGAGGGCTCAGAGCCCCCGAGGCGGGTTCAGACCAACTCAGCCACTTCCTGGCTGATCGGTCTCAGGCAAGGGGCTTCCCCTCCTGGACCTCAGTTTTCCAATCTGCGAAATGGAGGCGATGGTGCTTCCTTCCTCAGGGAGTGGGCTGAGAGAGTTACTCCTCGCCCCCACCCTGGGCACAGGTGCCCTGCTCATGGTCACAGGGGGCTTCAGCGCCTGCCTTTCTTTCTGCCTGTCGGGAACCAGGAGGCAAATCTTGGGGGAAGGGTCTCTCTGCAGATGGAGACACCCCCAGGTGACAGGGCCGGGGGCCGGGTTGGTCTGCGATGGTCATGGCCACAGAGAGGGGACTTGTTTCCTGCAGTTTCCAGCTGAGGCCTGGAGGGCATGGGCAGGTGTCCCAGGTGGTTCTGGGGCTTGGCTGACAGTGATGACCAGCGGGGGTGAGGGCGGCCCCTCCCCTGTGGCATTGAGGAACTTGAGGTCTAATCCCAACATCTCGATACATAAGAACAACGGAGCAGCAGACATTCTGGGGGGGACTTGTCCATTTGGAAGCAAACCCTAACCCACCCATGTGAGCTCCCTAACCCCGCCGTGAGTAGGTGGTCCTGGAATTGATCCCTTTACAGGTGGAAAGAAAGGAACTGAGGCTCTGAGAGGTGAACCCAGGAAACTGACCCCACAGGGCCTGGGTCCCAGATGCTGGTCCTGTCCTGAAGCAGTCATTTCTCATTCGTAATTCCACCAGGATACATCCGTGTCTTTGGCACTAAAGGTTTTATGTCTTTTGAGTCTTTCTGCTGAGGCTCTTACACTCCCACCTGAGTTCCTTTGGCCTGTCTTGGTTTGTGAGCCTATCTCTTAAAGTGTATCCTGGACATTCTTTTTAAAGCCGAGTCTTTAAAAGCCCTCAAAGATGTTTGCACAGCCCTGCCCGGGTCCCAGGTGGGTTGTGATAAAATCTGTGCCATTCTGGCTGCAGCTGTGTCTCAGGCCCTGGAGTGCCCGAGTCAGCTCTTTCTGGCTCGTTGGGAACCTGCCAGCTGGTTGCTAACCCTTTGGTAGTTTGCACTAGGCCACAATGGGAGTATTTACACCATGGGAATGGGCAGAAGCTACAACTACAGATCAGGGCGAGGGGTTGTGTTTTCTCTCTGGAGAGCCAGGTTACCACCATCAACCTGCTCTACCCTGCATGCCTGTCTTCCTTTCTCTGGCTGAGTATTTTCAAACATGTCTGTGGAGTGTTTGATTCTCTTGCTGACACTCTATTTCTGGAAGTTCTCTTGGGTTCATTTCCAAGTTGGCTGTGTCAGGTTTTAGTAGTTTCCTGTCCTTGGCAGAACCTTTCTGATTTATCATCCATCTAACCCTTTCAGAACCCAAGACCCAGGGCTCACACCTGGGTGTACATGAGCGTCTCTTGCCAGTGTCTTAATTTAGTTGGGGGCCCAGTCGGAGCCCTGACTCTGTCTCCTCCTGGAGCCCCCGCACCACAGCTCTGGCCCTGGCCAATCTGTGGCCTCCAAACTCCCCAGCATGAGGGGCCCGAGTCAGGATGGGTCTCACCACTCTGGGGCCTCCGGCTGTTGGAAAGGGGACCCGGCGTGTCACACTGTCTTCCCACCGCGGTGGGCTGCGGGCAGGCTGGGCACCGTGTTTTAAAACATCCCGTGTGTGTTCTTGCCGAGCTGGTCCCATGACCCCTTTCCCAAGTCCGCCAGATGTTTCCCTGGGAGCGACCCGTTGCTCGCGTAAACAAAGAAGCGTGTTTTCCCAGGGAGGCGGCCGCGCACCAGCTCCTTGACCACCTCGGGAGAAGTCTCCATGGACTCGGGAGGATGTATTTTGGGTCTGCGTGCGGATGAGCAGTGCACAGAAATAAACTTGATCTGTAGCGGGAGGAGACGGGCTCTGCCGCACGTGGGCATCCACGGTCGTTTCTCCCTGCTTGGGGGTGCCCATGGGCCACCAGGGCCAGCCTCTCGGTGCCCTGCTGGGCCTCCAGGTCTGGGAAGCTGCTTTAGCTTCTTGGCAACAGAGTCCACATAGCGGGCATGGTCTCAGCTGCCTCTCGGCCAGGGAGAGGGAGTCCGGAGCAGAGGCAACCAACAGCCCCTCATTCCCTGACCTCTCCTGTCAGCCATGTGTGGGGGCCGGGTCCCTGACTGTGAAGCAATCCCGTGCTGCCCAGATTTGCAGATGAGCATACGGGGGCTCCGAGAGGTTGCCTGGCTTGCTGGGGACCCCAGAGGGGCAGGGTAGGACTCCCACCCAGGCCACCTGATCCCAAGGCCTCGAAGTCCCATGGCCTCTCCCGGTGCCCACCTGACCTGAGTCCCCAGCCCTGGGCCGCTGAGTCAGGGCTCCAGGCTCCCGGCTGGCACGCCTCTGAGCCCTTGCCCATCGGGAGGGTCCCTGTGCCTGAGCGCCCTGGTTCTGGCTGTGTCTGGGAAGCAGCCCCAGCGCCAGCTTCTGGCTCATGCTTCTCTGCAACTTCCCTGATGGCCGAGCTCGACGGCCCTGGGAGCACAGCCCCTGGGGGCTCGGGCCGTAGCTTTGTGACGATGTAGCTGTGTCCTCTGGACCCTGCAAATGTGACTTCATTTGGAAGCAGGGTCTTTGCAGATATGTAAGGAGTTAAGGGTCTTTGGGCGGCATCCTCTGGATTTAGGGTGGGCCCCACCCCCATGATAGGTGTCCTTCGAAGAGAAAGGAGGGAGATTTGAAGCAGAGACACACAGAGGGGAGGAGGCCATGTGAAAACAGAGGCGAAGACGGGGGTGATGGGGTCAACAAGCCCAGGGACACCTGGCGCCCCAAAAGCTGGAGGAGGCGGGAAGGACCCTCCCCTGGAACTTCCAGAGGGAGCACGGCTCTGGGCCTGCCTCTGTGCTGTAAAGGGGCCTCTTTTGTGGTATGGCCGGCTGCTCTGGGGGCCTGCGGCTCACCCCCTGGTGTTGGAGCCTGGACCCTCCCTCCAGGCCCTCCTGGGTCCCTGCTCCCTGAGACCTGGCCTCCCGAGCTCCCCGCGCCACCTGCAAGGAGGGGACTCGGAGCCCTGTCGAGAGGGACACGAGGGGTGACGGGTGAAAGGGGCCGGTGTGGCAGCTCCTGACAGGCTGTCACCGGGCCCGGAGGTGAGAATGGCTTCCGCCCGTGTCCGCCCGCACGGACTGGGAACGCCTCTCCTCTTTCAGACTAAAATCCACGGCGTCGGGTTTGTGAAGATCCACGCGCCCTGGAACGTGCTGTGCAGAGAAGCGGAGTTTCTGAAACTGAAGATGCCGACCAAGAAGGTTAGTGGGGACGTGTCTGCTCCGAGGCAGGTCTCCGGCCACAGGGCCCCCCCGCAGACGCCACCGGCAGGTGCTGGCAGGAGAGGAGGCTCCGTCTGCGTTGCTGCAGAAGCCTGAGAGCTCCTTGCCTCTGGCAAGACTCAGCCCACACCCCGGAGGGGGCTCAGGCAGGGAGCCCTGGGCCTGCTGGGAAGTGAATGCAGTTGAACTTCCCGCACAGGGGTTTCTCGCTCTCTCACCGCTCACCGTGTCTCAGCTAGTTCATCGGACTCATTTTAGTTGCATTTTCTGGCTGGCTGGGATTTTTCTTTCTAGTCTCCGAAAACGGTGCAGCCCAGACCCCGTCGGAGGGTGGTATGCTCCTGAAGCTCAGCTGGGCATCAGGGTTTCCCCGGGTGAGGACAGCAAAGGGCGGTGGTGCGGGGAGTAAGTCATCCAGGTGTCTCAAATTCACCCCTTTTGAAACTAAAGTTCGGGGAAGTTTCTGGAATGGATTGTAATTGCTCTCTCGGCCGGTCTTGCACGAAACCGCGGGTTTCCCAAATTTATCTGGAACCCAGACATGGAGAGGGACACCCTGGCGGGTCCCAGGGTGCATTCCCAGGAGGGGCCGCCTCAGGGGGGGTGGGAATGGTGCCCCGCCCCATCTCGCCGCAGATGTATCACATCAACGAGACGCGGGGCCTCCTGAAAAAGATCAACTCGGTGCTCCAGAAGATCACGGACCCCATCCAGCCCCGGGTGGCGGAGCATAGAGCCCAGACCATGAAGAGACTCTCCTACCCCTTCTCCAGGGAGAAGCAGCACCTGTGAGTGAGCCCAGCCCCTCCCCGGGGGCCCTGCTGGGTGGTCACCCCCCTGTCATCATCCATAACGTGAGAAAGGCAGGTTGTGGGGCAAACTCCCCCAAAGAAGTGGGGGGGGGGGCAGCCTCTGGCGCCTCTTCTCATGGCGCTCGGAGTTCTTCGGGCCCTAAAAACGCTCCCTAAGGTCACTGTTAACTGAGGAACTAAGCGGGCAAAGAGCTTGCCATTCTGACAGGGACACTGGCGAGGGCACAGTGAGGGCAGGTGTGGGCCTCGGATCACAGCCCCAAAGCAGTGTCTGGGCACCCTTCCTCCCTCCTGCCCGGCTCCATCCCTCTTGTCCCTCTTAGGATGTATCCCCTGAGAGGGGCTGCTGAGCGGCCTCCTGCAGGCTGCGGAGCTGGGAGGCAGGAACTGAAAACCAGCCCCAGCCGGAGTCCCGAGGCCCCAAGGACTCAGCAGCCAGCGGGGTTGCCTGGCAGTACAGTATCTGTTCCGGAGCCTTCCCGCCCCCCTGCCTCCCTGACCCCTCGGGGCAGTGGGGCGTAGCCACCTGGGGCGGTGGTGGCTGCAAGGCCTTGTTGGGCCCTCACTGGGCAGAGCTGGAGTGCGGGCAGTGGTGGGAATAAGTAGCTTGGGCTCTGGGAACGCAGTGGGACTTTGATGGAGAGCCGGGGCAGGGCGGGGTGGGGGGTCCCAGACACCCCTGCTCTCACAGGCATGGAGACCTTGCCTGGCTCAGAACTGGGGCTTCTGCCTGGCAAATGCAAATGCGTTAGTCACAGCGCAGAGGTCCCGTGCCCCACTCCGCCTGTTTTCCCAGGACAAGGGATAAGAAATAAATGGCTCGGCCCAGCTTCTTCCACCAGCTCCCAGACAGAGAGCTCCGGGGCCTTAGAGGCAGGCCAGGACCCCAGGCCCGCCACCCTCGTTCTGCCCTGGCCGACTCCCTCGGACCCTGCCAGCCCAGGCTTACCGCCAGGCTCCCCCCAGCTGCCCTCCTAGCCCTACCTTGCCGAGTAGGCCACCTACCCCACCGATGTCCCTATGCACTCAGAAGAGTTAGGCAACCTCAAGGTGGCCCAAGACCTCAGAACCAAACCCATTTGAGAGTTACAGGAAGATTATCTTATGCAGAAAGCACGCTGGTGGAATGATACCATCCCTGCCCCCAGCAGTGTTGAGGCAGAGACCACAACTGCCCACCAAGACCGTCCTCAAAAGGGAGTATAATTGGACAGCCAAGGGGTCAGGGCTGCCTGTCACTACTTGAGCCAATTAAGCAGAGACAGGGTTGAATCATATATGAGCGTTTATTCCAATAACTTTGGCAGCGTGGGAGAGTAGCAGGTCATCCACAAACATCTGCACTCCCTCTCCCCATAAGCCAACTGCTTATATAGGGTAGAAGGGCAAAGATTACATTGGAAAGTAGGAATTACAGGCACGGGGAAGTTGGCAAGGTATAATCGTTACAGGCAATAGGGGCTGGGGGTTGCAAAGGATGGGTGCCTCTGGGACTAGATTATTTTGGCCTCGAGGTTGTAAATCTTTCCATGCTAATAGGCAGTTCTTTGGAGAGGAGGACGGACTGCATTCTGATGGTAGCTCCCATGTCCCAGGGCATGCACCTCCCAACCAGGTTAGAATGTGCTTTCTCTAATCAGAACAGAACCATCACAGTTAACAGAGCACGATGCATATTGCTTACTAGTGGCCTGGTGCACGAAATTCGTGCACATTAAAAGGGAATTAATTAGCGGAAATATTTTAATATTGCTATCTGCCCTTTCTTATAATAGAAGTGTCAGAGATTAAAGAAAATTAGTAAAATGTAGATGAAAATCACACCCCTGTCAGAGTCCAGGGCGCGCCGCAGGACCTAGAGTCAAGTCCCCACCCACCACCCGCAGGCGCTTCAAACACACAGGAGACCCAGACCCGGCTGGCTCCACCCCCATTGGGTGAGACCCAGATCCGGTTGGCCCCACCCCCATCAAGCCCCTCCAGGCAGGGGGCGCAGCCTCAGATCCCCCAGCCCGGTGCCAGGTGGGGGTTGCAGCCTCAGGTCCCTGCTGTTCAGTTGTGATGTTCCGATGTCCCAGCTAATTTGCATATTCCTCTATTACATAGATAGGTAACTGTAGCTGGTCCCCAATATTCTATCTCTGCCCCTAACAGAAGCAGGGTCTTCCGAGGGGAGGTCTGAGCACGCTTGCCTCTGGGGTCACTTCCCACCCCTGAGGGTCTCCCATCCTCTTGGAGAGAAGATGGGGGAGGGGAGGGGTAAACTGTTCCAAGTGCCTAGGCCCTAGGATCTGGTCACACCTGGGCTGTGACAGTTCGGCCAGTTCCACAGCTGATGCTCACGGGACAGCGCGGTTCTCAGACTCCGGCGAACTGTGTCTTATTATTTCAACAGATTTGACCTGTCTGACAAGGATTCCTTTTTCGATAGCAAAACCCGCAGCACAATAGTAAGTATCACGTGCGCACGTGGGGATCGCCAGCTCCCCAGCAAGGTGGCCCCAGGGAGAGGGAGGATAATTTCATTTCAGAGAAACTCCTCGGGGTGGAAGTGCCTCTAATTGTCTGTGACAGAAATAATTAGGGTAATAAAACCTAGAGAGCTTGGAGGGGCCCAGAGGATGGCCCAGCCCAGCAGGGGGTGGTGGGGAGAGGAGGAGAGGGGGTGGCAGCAGGAAAGAGGGAGAGGGATTCCAGACCCTGGGGTGATTTCTGGGTGGTCTGGTCTTGCTGTTCCCAGCACAGCTCCCTGGGCCCAAAGAGGAATCTGCAGGTTCCTAACTGTGGGGCCCAGGCCCAGAGGTTGCCCAGGCAGCGGCCAGGCAGGAGTGATGGGCAGTGGCCCGCAGAGCCGGGTGGGTTGGGGTAGATATCTGAGGCTTTGCCAGATGAGCAAACCGAGGTTTGAAATCTGACCAGGCCACCCTGCCTTATTCAAGGTACAGTATTGGTTTAATGTTTATCCATTGGCTGCCAACTTGTCCGCCAGCCAAGCTGGGCCCTGCGTGGCTCAGGACCCAACTTTTATCTAAACAAGAAATTAACCTCGCAGCCAAGCCACAGCCAAACCTCCGCTGCTGCCCTCTCCTCCCCGCCCCAAAGCCCAGCCGGGGGGTGGGGGGGTGCAGGGCTGGACCTTGAGCAGATAACTGCCAGGCCAGAGACAGTGCCGTCAGTCACGTGGACGTGGGGGGCTGCTGCCGAGGCCTGGACAGGGAGATCGGGGTCCTGTCCCCCCGCCGGTCCCTCCTGGCCTCGTGACTTTGGGAGTCACGGAGCCTGCGTGCGAACCACGGCGATCCTGGCTTCCTGCTCAAAGGGCAGCGGGGGCCTCCTCCGAGGGTCACCTGGACGCAGAGCCGGGAACAGAAGCTGTGATTTTTCATTGTTAACCCTGTTACTGATTAGTTTTAGCAATTAAATCCCATAATTATAAATGAGGGGGACTCCTGTACCTGGCATAGCTTGGGGCTGACCTGTGTCCAGAGGGAACCCCTCTCTCTGGGATGCCCACTACTTGGGAGAACCCCCAGTTCTCACCTCAGTGGTTCCCCTTTCCGGCCCCAGGACGGGACAGGAGAGAGGGGCCGGTGGTGTTCACTGAGCCACGTGCCTGTGTTCCATTACGTATGTGCTCCCCAACTTTTCACATTATCCCCGGAGCACAGGGCAGGTGCACATTTGTAAATTCACTCTTGCTATTATGGAAGGGAGGAATACATGAATCTAAAGTTTTAGTTCTCATACATTGGGGATCAGTCCATGACCCTCAAGTCACAGAAAGCAATTTTGATAGGGCAGTAAGTATAAACTGGACCGTCCATCAGTCCATTTACCTGTGGGGCAGGGCCACTCTCTCACACCCTGGAGGCCAGTTTGTAAACTGCCTGTGCTCTGGATTCAAAACTTTGGCGATTCAAAACATTGCCCTTGGTTAGTCAGGCTCCATGGTCTTTTGAGTCCCAACGGGGGTCGGGGGGAGGGGGTCTGCCAAGCACCCTGTGCATAGAATGGAATCCTGAGATCTGCCCCCTAGGGGTTTCTGGAACTTTCCTGGCTACACCAGGAGTTGCCCTATTAGCTGGGTGCTTACGTGTCTGAATTGTAACTCACCTCATAGCCAGGGGGACAGTAACCCATGACGCAGGGCCCACGGGACCACCCCTAACCCTGAACCCAGCACAGCACGGAGTCGGCGCTTCGAGAAGGAAAGTAAAAGATGGGACCCCTTCGAAACACACTGACTTATTCCTGAGAACATCGAAACCCCAACACTGTTGACCGAGCATCCGCAGAAAAGTCCCCGGAGAGGAGGTCACCACGGGCCGCGCTCGACCGCGTCCCTCCCCGGCGATCGCACGGCGGCCTCTGCGTGCGTTGCAGCCCCAGTAACCGTCCGCCCCTTCTTGTCTCCTCGCTAGGTCTATGAAATTCTGAAAAGAACAACGTGTACCAAAGCCAAGTACAGCATGGGTAAGGACATTTCTGGGGCTTGACATCAGCGCTGGGTTCCCAGCGGTAATCTCGCCTCGGCATCATCTCCGTGGGGGGCGGGCAGGCTTGGGAGTTGTTAGAGGGTTTTGATTTAAGCCCATGTGACAGTCTCAGAAAGGAGAGCCGTTCCGGGACCGGAACCGCCGGGCAGTTTTACGGCCCGCACTTCTCGGCACCAAAGTCTCCTCTTTGGCTTGAGGCATTTGCGAGGGGGTAAATCCTGGCTGCTGGCTGCTGTAGGGTGACCAGGTGTCTTAACCCTCTCTTGACCTTCACAGTCCAGCAAGAAGTAGTTAGGGTTCCAGCCGGGGTGATGGCCCACAGCAGCCCCTCCAGGCCAGTGCCGCCCCATACCAGGCCGATGCAACCTCACACCAGGCCTTGCCGGAAAGTGCTCCCCTCACCACACGCCCTGATTCTGGAACCTGCCGCACAACCACCCGAGCTGGGCTCCTCGGGGGCCAGTGTCCAGAGCCTTACCAATCAGAGCATGTGGACGGGCACCGCCCCGTCACCGGTCCCTTGCCCACTGCTTCAGGCTGAGCGTGCTAATCTGGAACATTCAGAGCAAAGGAATGCCTTTTCTAGCCGATTCTCCTTCTTCCCGAGCTGTGGTAGGCCCTGCCGGGGGCGGTGCCCACGCTGCAGTTTATCACGCTGGACAAGCACCTGAGGTTGTGAGGCTGTGGCGAGGGCCGCGGGGTGGGTCTTGTAGGAGCCGGGGTCTGTGCACCCAGGAGTGAGAGTCCTTGCCGCCTGCTCCCCGCGGAAGGAAGGACACCCTGGGAGGGGGTGGGAGGAGTAAGATGCTTGGCAGGTGGTGGTCCTGGACAAGTCCAGGACTCGAGGTGAGGATGAACCCTGCAGGGTTAGACAGGCTGTGTGTCCTCTGGCCAGTAGGACCGATGGCCGGTCACAGGGACACGCTTCCAGGCCTGAAATCTCTAAACCCATGTCCTAAGTCAGAGGGAGTGGGGCCTCAGCGAGGGGTCAGGAAGAACCCAAGACAACTGTCCCCACAGGCCTGGCCACTGTCAACAGAGCGAGAGCCTCCAGAATGGCCCAGTGGACACAGTTTTTAGCAGGGGGGAGTAGAGGAGGGGGGAGTAGTAGGGGCTAATAGAACAGGGAGGAAGTGTGGATCTAGCACCCAAGTACGTCTGGGAGCTCAGGCTGCCTGTGGGGCCCCTTCCCTAGGAAGCTGCTGATAGCTGGGGGCTGGGGCCTCCGGGTGCAGGTGCTCCCTGGGGGTGGGCGCGCTGAGCGTTCCCACTGTTTCTCTGGCAGGCCTGGTTCCCAGAGCCTGGTGTCAGAGCAGATCGATGTGGGGGGCACCTACTCTGCACCCCCACTTCACATGGGCGCCTTGTCTGAAAGCCCTATTGGCCTCTAGGTTATTCATTCAGCACCTGAGGAGCCTGCCACCCGCCAGGCCCCTCCAGGCGCTCCCTGCCCCCAGGGGCCTGTGTTCTGGGGGAGGGAAATTGGGGGGAGGCCCGGGGGGGAGGGGGGATGAGAAGCAGTGGTCAGAGAAGGCCCAAACCTGAAAGAAGGCAGCTCCATATTAAGAGGGTCCTAAGAACAGCGAGGAGCCAGTGACCTGGACCATACCCACATCCTTTTCTTTTCTTTGTTTATATTTTTACTGATTTCAGAGAGGAAGGGAGAGGGAGAGATAGAAACATCCATGATGAGAGAGAATCATTCATCAGCTGCCTCCTGCACACCTAGTACTGGGGATCGAGCCCACAAGCTGGGCATCAAGCCCACAACCTGGTCGTGTGCCCTGACCGGGAATCGAACCGTGAACTCCTGGTTCATAGTTCGATGCTCAACCGCTGAGCCATGCTGGCTGGGCCCCGGGTCCATCTCTTATTGCAGGCGAACTCACTTGTGTGTGATTTCAGCCATGTGCTCCCGCCTCTTCCTGGTCTGGACTGCCCAGCGCCCTCAGGTGCCCTGACCATTCCAGGTCACTCATGGTGGACACAGTTTTTAAGCAGATTTCCAGAAGCCCCTTTCCGGCACTCTCACAGCAGTGGAAAGTGGGCCGGCCAGGCCAGTGCAAAACCTAACCCACATATTCCCTAGAACGCCTCTTGGGCCAGGCAGGTGGTTCTGTGACCAGCAAGGGGCCTCATGGAAACCCCTCAACAGCACTGAATCCCAAAAACGTGTGTGTGGACCAAGACCAGAGTCCCAGGACCTGATCCCCATGCATAGCCAGCCTCTCTCACAGCACTGCCTTCCAGGTCGGGGCGCCCTGATCCACAGGAAGTGCAGGTGTGGCTCTTGGTACAATGCACTCTGTGCAGGGCCTGGGGTCTGCGAATAAGGGCCTGACTCTCATCCCACTGCCCCAGGGGCACTGGGCCGCAGGGCGCGCTCTCCCCCAAACACAGCTTCGATGCTTTCGGGCCCTTTTGCTAACGTAACTAATAGCCGGATGTATAAACAGGGCATGGAGAGGGAAGAAAGAAGGACTCTGCCCTTTTAAGTAAAAGGCGAAAGTGTGGTAAATACGGTAAGTGCGGGGTCGCAGGCCTCCCCCTTGGCTTTTCCAATCAACCTAAAATCTAATTCCAAATTGTATGTGTGTTTCTGACACCATCAATTTTCCTTCCCCTCCGTATTTTTCTCGTGATTCAGCTTTTCTAACCACTCGAAATCATCCTTCCGATCTGCAGGCTTGCCCTCAAGCAGGCGGGGTCGTTGGTGAATTGCCGGTGTGGGGTTCCTCCTTCCTTCCAGACGTACCTTCCTCTCGGGGTTTCCTGGGTGTCTTCTTGATTCTGCCAATCGAGCATGTGTGTGTCATCGGGTCGAACCTGGGGAAGACGCCCCAGGAAGGTGGCTGGGCTCTGTGCAGCCAGGCGTGGTTCGCTCTGTGGACACTCTCGGTGGTGGCGACAGTCCGGGGACAGCTCTGTCGGGACACAGAGCAGCGGGGGACAAGCCTGGTCCATAATCCTCTCTCTCTGCCTTTATTTTCAAGGCATCACCAGCCTGCTGGCCAATGGCGTCTACTCAGCTGCCTACCCTCTGCACGATGTAAGTGACCTTGACAACAGGGTTTATCTCTGCGTCATTTGCCTTCCAGAATCCCCACGGGCCCGCACACCCCCTGAGCTCTCATTATCCTGCGGTCTCGGCTTCCTGCTTTGGCTCGGCCTGAAATGTCAGCTGGGCACAGGCCTTCCCTGTTCCCCCAAGTGGGGACCGAGGAGTTACAGGGCCATCTTTTCTTGAAGAGCAAATCCACCAGACACGGTGGTGGCAGAGCGTCTGCCCCAGCCTTATCTGAACCTCGACCAGCTGTCCAGGACCTGTCTCCCCTGGCTGGTCCCCGCCCTGCCCAACCCCCCGGTTCTGGCAGAGTGGCCAGGGCTCTGCATGTTTCTATCTCTGCAGAGCGAGTGGCCGGCTTCCTGAGCTGAATCTCCAATTCCCACTGGGATCCCCCTGACAAATATAGCCCGTGGCCTCGGCCCGCGTTGTCTTGGCTCCAGGGTGGAAGGAGCGAGATGATTCCTCCTCATTATCTCTATGGAAACGGTCTAGAGTTCAGAGGGGCACTGGGAATGGGCCGTGAGGCCGGAGCAGTGTGGGAATCCCGGACAGAGGCTCTCGAACTTTCCAAATGTGCGTTACTGCCACGGCGAGGAGCCAAGAAGCCGGAGAGGACAGGCCTGGGGGGCCAGGGACTCAGACGCTGGCCCTGGTCACTCCTCCTCAGCTACAGTGGAAATAGCCCCTTGTGGTCTCTGAGCCCCAGTGTGCCCACCTGCCCGTTCAGAAGAATGCCCGCCCCGTCCCGTTGCCAGGGCCAGTGGGGGTGTCAGAGGGAATGCAGAAACGAAAGGGGTTTCAGCAGCAGTGGACTGGACAAACGGAGGGTGTAGAGCAGTGATGGCGAACCTTTTGAGCTCGGCGTGTCAGCATTTTGAAACACCCTAACTTAACTCTGGTGCCGTGTCACAGATAGACATTTTTTGATCTTTGCAACCATAGTAAAACAAAGACTTATATTTTTGATATTTATTTTATATATTTAAATGCCATTTAACAAAGAGAAATGAACCCAAAAAAATGAGTTCGCGTGTCACCTCTGACACGCATGTCATAGGTTCACCATCACTGGTATAGAGCAGCAGAGGGCCGACCCCTGAAACTCTGACCTGCTACCCCTTCCCTCACCACTCACTGTAGGGATTTGAGGTCAACTGGCTTCCCCACCTTTTTAAAAATATATATATTTTTATTGACTTTTTAGAAAGAGGAAGGAAGAGGGAGAGGGAGAGAGAAACATCAATGAGAGAGGAACATTGATCGCATGCCTCCTGCACACAGCCCCTACGGGGGATGGAGCTGGCGACCCAGGCATGTGCCCTGATGGGGAATCAAACCGTGACCCCCTGGGCCAGCTTTCCCATCTTTGTGCCTTCATGCATGCTGTTCCCTCTGCCTGTCATGCTTTTCCCGCTTCCTCGGCCTGGACAACACCTCTCCCCTCCCAGGGCAGACGAAGCATCACATCGACCCACGCCTGCCTTGTTCCCCTTCCCCAGCTCCGTGATCTCTCCCTGCCTCCTTGGGGCCTCTGATGCCCCGGTCCCAGTAAGACACCACTTTGGGCCGCCATTCACTGTGCGTGTATCTCATGAAAACCCGATGCCGGCACCTAGTGGTGCTCAATCAATGTGGTGTTGACATGGGCTGGACCAAGTCAAGTTGCCTCGGTGAGCAGTGTTGCTGGATGAAAGTTTCCAGGGCAGGGCCCAGAGCCCCGCAGATCCCACCATCACTTCCGCCTCCTCCCACAGAGCCAGGGGTCCAGAGGGGCTTCGCTCCCCCACCTACCACGCGCTCAGGCTCAGTGTTCGGTCCCACCAGCACCAGGAGTGCATCCCTCTCCATCACCCACGTGGCCTTTGGGCTGAGGACTCCTGGCCAGGGTCAGGGACACGGAAGCGAAAATGTTTCAGATTCCCTGCCTGTTTTAAGTCAGACCTTGAAGTCTTGAAAGGGAAAGGGGAGAAATCAACTTTTCTGAGCACCTACTATATGCAAAGAACTGTATTTAGTAGGAGCTTTACCTTATTTAATTCAGTGGAGACAAGGGGACTAGAGAGATTTAGTAACTTGCCCAAAGTCACACAGTCTCTGGGGAGAGGTAGAGCCAGAAGCCAGCCCTCTGACCTGAGGCTATGCCTCCATCCCCAAGTGGACCACCACCTCATTTTTCCCTGGGCACCAAATGCACCCCCCACCCCCAATCACTGCCACATTTGTCCAGCAATCAAGTCTGTCTGCAGTGTAAGCAAACTGTTCCCACTTTACGGATGGGGAAACTGAGGCTGGGGTTGCTGGGAAAGACAGCCAAGAGGAAGTGGAGCCTAGAGGCTAGATCCTCTGGTTCCACTTCCAGGGTTCTTTCCAGCCAGGTTATGGACTTGGGCGTCTTGAGGGAATACGGAGTTTTATATCCGTGGATTTCCCATACACATGAAGGACACCCACCTCCTTCAGTACCAAAGCTGGTGTTCAGACATGGCTGTGAGCGGGGCCACGTGCACCCCATGCTCTTAAGCAGAGAATACTGCCCACAGTGAAGGCGCAGTCTCCTTGGTCGGCGCAGGCTCTTCACACGTGCTGTGTAGTCCTAGCTCTTTTCAACCCTTTTCATCTCACACACACATAACCTAATTACTAAAATTCTATGTCAATCGAGCAAAAAAATATATAGATAGATAGATATCATTTTGATTCATTCACACGGGAGAGTTACTGTGTTGGCCGTTATCATTTTTTATTTGACAGTCTAAGGCAGGGTTCTCAACCTTCCTAACGCCGCGATCCTTTAATATAGTTCCTCATGTTGTGGTGACCCCCAATTTCATCGTTACAAATTGAACATAATTAAAGCATAGTGATTAATCACAAAAACAATATGTAATTATATAGGTGTTTTCTGATGGTCTTAGGCGACCCCTGTGAAAGGGTCGTGTGACCCCCAAAGGGGGTGGCCCAGTCCTCCTCACCTGGAGGGGGCTGGTGGTGGAACGGGCAGTGGGCACGCCTCCAAGGGGCCTCAGAGCTTTATCTGTCGGGCGGTTCTCAGGACCAACCTCACCAGGCCCTCACTGAGCCCCTCACTTGTGGCTCCTGCTTAGTCAAAGCTGGTGCATGGGACTCACTTTTGACTTGTAGACCCTCCTCTTCCATTGCACTTGGAGACGGGATCTGAGTCCCAGGTTGGATCAAATTCAGCCTTCTATGAGCCTCAATGAGCCTCAATGTTTCCATCTGTAAAATGGGAGATTTGGGCTCACTGATCTGTACGTGCTGTTACCATATCATTTATCGTCCCTCCTGGGACAATCAAGAGTGACAGGGACCCCACCTGGACGGGGCACTGGGGCCGAGACACTGGGGCCATCCTGCAGAGTGGAAGGTGTGTTCACCCTGTCGATAGATTCTCCAGCCCCAGAAGGCACCTCCAGGGACCTGGCCACAGTCCTTTCTCGGACTTCGCCTCTGGGTCGGGTGGAGGGCAGGGCACGCGGGACACACGGAGTGATTTGTATCACGGAGGGAGGCCTGGTCCACCTCCTGCTCTGGGTGAAGTCTCGTCCTAGGATGATCTTAACCAGGTCAGTGCGTGTTTGTGGAGTCTGTTTGGAAACGTTAGGAATGGAAATTACTCGAGAGTGCCCTTGGGTGGTAAGAACATCCCTTTTCTCTTCCAACAGGGAGAGTATGAAGGTGAGGACGTGGAGTTCAATGACAGAAAAGTAAGTGGATGCAAGGGAGAGAAGGGGCTCTGGCCAGGTCTGGAGGGGCCCCTGGGCCTCGGGAGGGTCAGGGTGGGTTGCTCCATGGGCATCTGTGGTGACAGGGCTTCCGCTCCCACAGTTGAGGGAGAACGTCGGTGAACTCCATTTGGTTGGTTTCTCCTTCTGATGCTCAGAAATGCGGGTGGCAGGTTATCTGTGCTGCTCAGATGCTGCCCGGACCGGGCCGGGGTAAACCTGTGTCTTAACCGGGGTACGCAACCTCCACCGTCCCTGCTGACAATTCAGCCTATCCTGCCCTGCTCCGGACAGATGAGTGTGAGAACCGCTGTGGCCAGCTGCATAGAGAGCCCCCACCACCCTGGGGAAACTTGCTGGATGGTATTCAACCCAGTGTTTCTCAAACTTACTTGACCTGGAACCCTTTCTTATTTTTATCTTTAATTTCTTTATTGGTTAAGGTATTAAAAATGTGTCCTCATCCCCCCATTAACCCCCAACCTCCCCACCCCCACTCATGCTCTTCCCCCTATTTTACTTTTCAAAACTGAACTATCAGCTAAGGTGTGTATACATTTTTTTGGGAAATCTTATATGTGTGTGTGTGTAATTGCGCACATAATTTGGCTTCCCATTTAAGTTAGTTGGCTTTTTCACATCCCTACAGCTATTGTCAAGCAGAGTTCCTGAATGTTGTCAGACCCATCCCCTTTTAAGTATTGTGCTGCTACGAACATACAGGTGCATATATCCTTTCTGATTGGTGTTTCTGGCTTCTTGGGATATATTCCTAGAAGTGGGATCACTGGGTCAAATGGGAGTTCCATTTTTAGTTTTTTGAGGAAACTCCATACTTCTCTCCACAGTGGCTGCACCAGCCTGCATTCCCACCAGCAGTGCAGGAGGGTGGAACCCTTTCTAATGGACAAGTTGTTGAGCTAGCATTCGTGGGATGCACTTTGGAAACATGATTCCTCCCTTCCCCAGTGGGTGTTCCTGATTCCAGCCCCCAGGCTTTCCAGGAAGCTCTGTTCCTCCACCCCCTCTTCCCCCCACCCACTACATGTACACATCTTCCCACAACAGCCACCTCTCCGCCCTCCACACTCTGGAAGGTTCTGCCCTGCCGTCCTGCACATGTGCCCACGCCCAGATACCAGCCTTGCTCGGTGTCACAAGCTCAGCCCTCCCCACCACCCCTCGGGGAGCAGCCCTCCCTGAGCCCTGTGTCTCTTTTGTCCCCTGTCCAACCTCTCACCCCAAGAGTGGATCTCTCCAATGTGGAGAGCAGAGACACTCCCCCGAGAGCCTCACAGCGGTGGCCTCGTCCCAGATGGCAGGGCCAGGAACCTCAGGCTCTGGAATGTTCCTCATTCCCGCCCCCTCCAGCCCCCCATACGTGTTTTTAAACCTCTGGTACTTGATCCAACTTGCCCGCCCCAGGATCCAGCTGAAGATGCTATCTGGGTTAGCACAAAATTACATATTTGGTTATTTTTAGTGGAACATCTGGCATTCGTCTGAGACCCCATGACTTGCAGAACTCCCCCAGCCCCTCCCCCGGCCTGGCCAACTCGGCCTCGGAAGCCCCCTTCCTGCTCTCTCTGTGCCCCTTTGGCACCAGCAACCCCCTTCTGGACCAATCCCATCCTCCAGGCCCTAGGCCCCTCCACCCCAGTCCCCCGCCCTCCTCCCCACACTCCAGCCACACTGGCTTCCTTGCCAGTCTGAAGGCTCCTTGGACGATGATCACACCAGTGCCAAGACTGTCTCCCCAGTTGCTTTGGCAGGAACTATTCACTGAACACTGCTGTGTGCCAGGCCCAGCCAGCATGGCTCCCAGTTCACCAGACCCACCTGTTCTCTGCCTGGAAAGCTGCCAGCCTCCATCTCCTTTTTAATGTTATACCCCAGCAGTGAACATGAGGCCTGGCCCGGGGGCTAGTCAGGGAGTATTAGATGGCTGGGTGGGTGGGTGGATGGATGGACAACAGACAAACAGATAAAAGTTAGGATGGATGGAATGGACTAAAGGAAAACAGAGTGGCAGGCCAGGAAGGAGGATGCCCAGTCAGGTGTTTGGGTCCTAACTCAGAACCCTAGAGAACCTCTCATTCTCCCATGATGACTCCCCGCTAAGGGGCCCGGTTCTGAATATTTTGCCTTTCCAAAGACAAAGCCTGAGGCATCCTGTCAGTGGCAGGAGCCCGTGTGGCTGACCCCAGGGACAGGACGGAAAGGGGGACCCAGGCAGGCCAAGGCCATCTTCCTGGCTGAGCTGCAGGAGCAGGGGCCCAGCAGGAGGCAGGCACGGCCATAACCGGGGGTGGGTGCGGCTCTCCCCTCTGCACCCGGTCGCCTCCTTCAGGTGTGGATTAAGGTGGCTCCATCCTGGGCTGGACTGAGAACCACAGGGCCCGGTCCATGCTGCCTTCCTCCCTCCCTTCCTTTGTTCATTCATCCATCCATCCATCCATCCATCTGGCAGTTACTGACTGGAAACCTGTTATCTGCCCCAGGCCTTGTTGGAGGTGTTGGGGACGACACAGACCAAACAAACCTGGTCTTCTTGGGTCCTGCGTTCAGGGGGGGACACGTCAAAGGGCAAGTCCATACACAGCCATTAAGAACTGCACCAATGCCCAGCATGTGGGCCCAGCGGGAGGTCTGGGCAGGAGGAATGCTGGCAGGTTGAGCTGAGACCCCCTCTGAGGTCTGGGTGCTGGGAGCTCTAGGTCACTGTGACTGGAGCCACCAGTCCCAGTGGCACCACTGGCACCTCCCACCCTGCTCATGAGGCTGGGGTGCACCCTGGGAGTTCTGCCAATGGTAACAGGGAAATCTTAAGTCAGATTTCTCTACCCTGACAGCTACAGGGTGATGGATGTTCTCTGCTTGGCAGGAAGAGAACTTTACCGAGGTAAAGTGGCTTATGTAGAAATCGGGGTGTGCCCCATTTGGCACAGCTGTGGGCGCATGGTGGCCAGCCTGCTGTGGGCCAGTCCTCCTGAGCAGGTTCGGGAACACGGTGACTGGTGTGACATGGCCATGACTTCAGAGTCTCTCCAGGCTTCCCCCCTGTGCCACCCCTCCCCGGGCCAGTCTTCCTTCTCTCTCTCCCTCCCAGGATCTCTCCCTCCCCCTCTCCTCCCGCCCTCTCTCCCTCCCTTCCTCCTTCCCAGCCTATGATATAAATCAGTGACTTGATTTCAGCCAAGGGAGGAAGCCGCCCTGGACAGGGATGGCCATTTTGCTTCTCCGGAGGTGCTGTGCAGTCTCATCAGAGTTTGCTGGCGGAGACCTCCCTGTTCACACAGTGCAGCTGTGGGCTGTGCATCGCTTTCTGCGTGGCCAGGCGTGTGAGACAGGGAGCACGGCCCTCTGCCTTCCACGGAGCTCCCTCAGTGCGTGAGCCCGTCTGGGTTCATTCTGTGACCGGCAGGAAGGACAGCACCCTTCAGTATAAAGGAGGCGATGGGGCCCAGGGGAGAGCCCCGGATGCCCACCAGGACTCAGAGGGGAGGGCCAGCTCACGCACTCAGCGCTCAGTGGTTAGGGTCTAGGCAGGACCTCCCACCAGGCTCAGAGAGGTCTGCCCAGGATGGCCACTCCAGACTCAGCAGAGCCAACAACCCCGCTCAGAGCACAGCGGGGGAGGCCCCGTGCAACCTGGCTCCCTGCCCGCCCGAAGCTGCAAAGCTCCCCTCACCCCACCCCCTTTCCCCAGCAGCAGGCCTGGCCATTCATCTGTCAGATCTTGGAGTCCTGCTGGATACATCCTGTTTGTACCACTCGCAGGACTGAAGGTCTGAAGGCAGCTACCCCATAAAGATCAGAGCAGGCAAAACGCAGGATGCTGACAGCCAGGTTCACTGTGATTTATTACGACTGCGCTTTGCTTTCCTGCGTCCTTTCCTCCCTGCTTTTAGAGGTGTGTGTGGACCGCTGACGGATCACGGTTCTCTCTTCCTCCCGGGGCGTTCTCGCTCGGCTGCGGCAGGGGCCCAAGGAAGCGGAGAAACTAGCTGGGGGCCATGTCCAGGGAGCCCTGTCTCCCTGGTCTGTGGAAGCTGGACCCACCCAGCAAGCTTCTTACACATTTTTAATTTTCAAAGACTTGAATATACATGGGTGCCCAGAAGTGGAGGAGGATGTGTTAGCTTGGGCTGCAGGCACAGAACCAGGTAGAAGGGCGGCTTAAACAGCAGACATTTATTCTCACAGTTCTGGAGGCTGGAAGCCCAGGACCCAGGTGCTGCTGGGGCAGGGTCCTGGAGGGCTCACTTTCTGGCTTGCAGACGGTCGCCTTCTGGCCGCATCCTCACAGGGCCTTTCCTCTCTGCGTGTGTGTGGAGAAGGGACGCTCCGCATCTCTTCTTATAGGGGCACCAGTCCTGTCACATCCAAACCTCACTTTTATGATCTCTTTTAACCTTAATTACTTCCCAAATACAGTCACATAGGACACAAACATTCAGTCCATAGCATAGAGTGTTTGGGATGATAAGATGGGGCCACAGCAAAATCTGAGCATTGGAGACCCCCCAAATTTTTTAATGGAGCTTAGGAGACCCCCAAAATATTTTATCTATTAAGAAAAGAAAGAAGGACACAGGGCAAGCTGCAGCATCCAGAAGAGACCCTGGCGAGTCCTCACAGGCATCCCCATGCCCGCCCCCTGCCCAGCAGAGACAGGTGGCGAGGCACGGAAGGCCCCAGGGTGGACCCCCGCTCCCGTGCAGCCTGCCGTGCAACCTCGGGCTTGGAGTTAAGGCTGGGAAAGCACGAATTACCCCTGTGCATGGGATTTCCTTCTTCCAGCAGCAGTCCTGACACGGCAGCGGCCTTGGGACACCCTGAGCGTGTTCACGCACAGCTTCCGATCTGTCCCTCTCATTACCGTTCCTGCCCACAGCCCGGGGGTAACGGTGTGTGCAGGCTTCATTTATTTCACTAAGTGTCTTAATCAGACAGCCCGTCTCAGGAGACAAACGTTGAGCTCTGTGCATCCGATGAGATTTTTTTTTTTAATCTTGCCACTTTTATTTTTTTTTGCTCCAAAGCCAAGTAGATTCTGTCCTTTATCACGATGGTTCCGTGTGTGACGGGAACAACCAGGAAACCTAAATGGAAAAGCCTACCAGTGTCGGGTCGCTTTAGATCAAGTCATGAAGGGAGAGGATTCCACGAAGATGCCCAAAGCCTCTTTCCCATCCCCACCTTCACCTGAAAACCTAGGCTCAGTCCTTCTCAGGGAGCCCCAACCCCATCGCTGGCCTTCAGCGCCAGCTCAGCGACCCCCGAGGGTGGGTTCTTTGGGACCCTTCCCAGAGCTGAAGGCCGTGACCCAGTTTTTCCATGTCCGTCTCCCCCCTCACGACAGGGGCCCAGGGCTCAGGGCTGTGTCTGCCCAGCTCCCCTCTGAAAGCCCGGTGCCCAGCCTGGGGCCTGGCCCTTGTCCGACTCTCACCAGCGTTTGTTGAATGAATGAAGGATGTAGCTGTGAGCAGAGAACATCCGCCCTGTGTTCTGGGAAGGGACCTGGGAGCATCCCACTCTCACCAGCCCCTCGCCGCTTTCTCTTTCCCAGCTCCTGTACGAAGAGTGGGCCAGCTACGGCGTCTTCTATAAGTACCAGCCCATCGACCTGGTCAGGTAAGCGAGAGCAGCCCGGCTCCCCGGGCAGCGGCTGTGGGAGGCAAATCCCCAGTTGGATGCCAGTGGGATAAATGTCCCCACGTGTGCCAGCTGCCCTGACTGTTCAGTGCCTGGGAACCTGTTTGCACTTGACCCGAGGCCTCCCGACAGGACCCAGCAGCCTTAGTTCCCTGAAGGATGGCTCTTTCCTCATACTCGCTGTCTCCTCCTAATTTCGCAGCCCGGCCTGACTCTGCCGGGCGGCAGGCCAGGTCCTCGCGTTGCTGTGCTGAGAGGCAGAAAAGAATGTGTCCTCTCCCAGAGGACCTCTGTCCCCAGGGCAGGAAGGGGGTGGGCCAGATCCAGCTGTGTGTGTCCTCTGGGGACATGGAGACAGAGCTCAGCCCATGAGCATTCGTCTAAACCCATCAGGGCATCCAAGACCCTCAGCAGGAGGCACAGGCCTTCTCCTGGTGCCCCCAGGCCAGAGTGCCAGCTCTTAGCTGAACCCGACTCGGAAGGAAGCTGGCAGCCTCGGGGGCCATGCATCGTGCCCACCAGCATGAGTATCACAAACGCCTTCCCCGAGCGCGAGAGAGGGG